ACTAGTCAATCCAGCATACTTTAATTCATAATTGCTTTGTTATTGTTTGCATAATGAACTGATATGCAATCGTGTTCAAGTTTAGGAATTAGTTGTGAAACTAATCTGGACAAACTCTGATTAGTTGAACATATTGATCAGTTAAGATATGTTCTTGCATCAACACTTTATATCATTGACTAACTTGTAACTAGTTGACTAGCTCATTTCACTAGTCTACAATGCAAAGTTAAATTTTTATTTACAAGATATTATGCCTGGTACCCAATTTCAGATTGCAAAACTATCAAACTCTACAACTTTACCACTTGAGTATTAGGAAATTTGTGTCTATAAATACAAGGAAATTTGCAACTTAGAGAGGACATTCAACTCAATTACACAAATCAATGCCCTATGCGATACCTCTCACAACTTAACTCAATACACAAATAAACGCCCTATGTGAAACCTCTCACAACTTTATGTGAAATACTATATGCTCTACTAATTGTTAGCACATATGTTGATTTTTCTTTCATCTTTCCTTTTTTGTTTTATTATCTTTTTATGTCAGTTAACGTGTTGTCAAGTGCAACAAAGTCACATATGTGGAAGAAGTGAAATGTCCAAAATACTCATGAATTAGCTAACTTAATAATTTTATTAATTTATGAGCACTCCAATATCTTTTATTGCAAACTAGCCTCTTTCCATGCACGAGTGTGTGAGAGATCTTTGTGAGCACTATGCACCTCTAAAGATGTAATGCATTAGTTGCTTTTCATTATAATTTTTAAGAGATATTACTTAAAAGTTATAATGTTTTGTGCAAGCAAAAGACTTTTTCTTTATCACGCATGCAAGGTTGACCTTGAGATTTTAGGGCCCTGGGTGAGCCACAGTTAGGAGGCCCTTCAGTTGATAGGTATTTTAATGAATAATGATCATATAATTTGTCTTTTTAATAGTTAATTCGTAAATATTTATCATATCATCACTTATGAACATTTAGATTGGAACAAAAAATTAACACACCAAACAAAATATACAATAATAAAAAATAGGGTAAATGACAAACAACTACCTCAACTATTGGTCTGACGACACTTTTATACCTCATCTTTTAAAAATTACAATGTCATACCTCATCTTACGAATTTGTGCCAACGTCAGACTTCCGTCAGTTTTTCTGTTACTTTTTCTGTTAAATGCTGACGTGGCCAGAGATGAGACCCACTCACTAATCCAACTGGATAAAAAAAAATATATATATATATTTTTTTTTTTAATAATTAAATATTCAAAAATTAAAAAAAAATTAAAAACTAAAAAACTAAACAAATAAAAAAGGCCTAGGGATGCGGGCTTTCATTTCTTCCACCTGCACCAACCCTTCTCTCTCTCTTTTCTTTATCTTCTCTTGTATCTCTCTCCCACTCTAACTCCCTTTTCTCTCTGCAACCACCGGCGCCGAGGAGGATAGCAGCGAAGAGAGGGAGGAGAAGAAGGGTCTGAAGGCAAAGACAGCAGAGGTGGGAAGGAGATGAGGGTTTTGACGGTTGAGAGGAGGAGGAAAGCGAGAGGTCAGAGGAGGTGTGTGGTCAACGGTGAATCAAACGGAAGAGGGGTCGGATGATGGACTGGGTGGAGAGAAGGTAGGAGGGTGATGAGTGTGTAAGAGGGGAAGGGGATTTGGGTGTGGGTTTGGTTTGGTTGTTTTTTTTTTTTTTTTTTTTTTTTTTGGTGTGGGCTTGGTTTTTTTGGTTTCTTCAGTGGGTGGTAAAGATGGAAGAATAGAGATGGCGGTGGGGTGGTGAAGGAAGGTTGGGTATAGAGGGACTATGGGAGGGTCGGGTCGGGTTTGGAGGTGGTGGTGAGGGAAGGACGAGTGCGAGTGGGGAGAGGGACGGAGGAGGGAGACCGCATCCCAGAGAGAGGAGAGAGAGAAGAGAGAGAGAAGGTGGTGGAGGAAGGTTGGGGGGACGGGGAAGGGTTTGGTGGCTGTCGAAGAGAAGAAGAAAAAGGGTGGGTGTGGGTGGAAGGGAAGACTGGATCCCTTAGGCCAATTTTTTATTTTTTTTTAGTTTTTAAATTTTTAATTTTGTTTTAATTTTTGAATATTTAATTATTAAAAATAATCATTATTATTTTTTAATCCAGTTGGATTAGTGAGTGGGTCCCATCTCTGGCCACGTCAGCATTTAACATAAAAACTGACAGAGGTTTGACATTGGCACAAATTCGTAAGATGAGGTATGACATTGTAATTTTTAAAAGATGAGATATGAAAGTGTCGTCAGACCAATAGTTGAGGTAGTTTTTAATAATTTATCCTAAAAAATAAATTCATAGTTTACTTAATGATATATTTTGAGTTGCCCCTTCACTTGTATAAAATTGCTTAGAATTTGAAAAATAAAGAGATGGAGAGGAAGTGAGAGAAAGAGAATTGAAGAGAAATGATGGTGAAAAAATAATTACATTCATACTTTCTTTGGAGTAAAAGCCAGCGTAAAATAACTACACGTGAAATATGTTCTCCTTTGTTGTTAGGAGTCTAATTTTTGTTTATCTTGATTAAAAAAAAAAAAACTTTTAGTGGTATGGGCCCTTCTTAAATGTACATGGTTTGAGCCCATTTTTCAAACTAGAAAACTAAAACTAAATACAATACATAAAAACAGCGCACACCCATGAGTTCGAAATAAGAACTTTGAGAAAGTAGCTTGTGTGTTTTCCTCTGCACTGCTTATAATATTTTTTTTATATTTATTATATAACATATATCTATTAAGTAAAAAATGGCAGCCGCCTCTTCCGGCCGACGGCCCTACAAGCACGTCTCAAACATTTGTCATGTTTTTTGTTTTTACTTTAACTAGAATAATGACTTATATGTTATCCATGCAATTGTCAAAACAACAAGTAATTTTGGTTGTCAGAGTGTTCTTGGGTCGTGTTCCCATCTTTACATTATACTAGTCTCTTTGCACACACTCACGTGCATGCGAGAAGTTTTTTTTTTTTAATCATGAGCGTTACGTGCTCTTGAAAATATATTGTGTTACTTGCTTTTCATTATGGAGGTTGTACTTGGTGCGATGGCAAGTGCCTTAGCCCATGAGTGGTAGGCAGGGCCGGCCCAGGCCCAGTGCAAGCAGGGCGACCGTCCAGGGCCCAAAAAAATTGGGGGCACCAAAATTATTCGGGTGGTATATTTATATATGTTTTTATAAGAGTATAAATTTAAAAAAGTTGGTTTAATTACAAAGGAATTTAACTAGAAGTGGTGGTTTTGTAATTTGAAATTAATGAGAAGGTCTTGGGTTCAAGACACCACGTGTGCTTATTTACTTTCCAATTTTTACAATTTTTTTTTCATAAGAGTATAAATTTATAAAATTTGGTTAAATACTCAAGAAGTTTAATTAAAAGCAATGATTTTTGTTGTTTAAAATTAACGAGAGGTCCTAAGTTTGAAATGCTATGTGCGTGTTTATTCTTTTCAATTTTAACAAAATTTATTTGGTTGTTAATTTATTTTTAGTTACTAGCTAGTAGCTATATGGGTTACTATTTTTAAATATTTGTTCCAATTCAAGTAAGGTTTAATTCAGTGCCCAAAGTTTTAGAGCAAATTTACAAATCATATGACGTGTCATCATAAGGTTTAATTCAGTGCCCATTCATTACTTATACATATCAATTAAAGACTCGAAAACATTATTATGTTTTTAGTCCCATATTGACAAGGTTAGTAAATAAGAAAAAACATCTCACAATTTATACAAAAACACTTTAAAAGTTCACATGGAAAAAAAAACTCATTTATCTACTTGTAAGCCAGGAGTTTTTTGGTTTCCTCATCTTGATACAAAATAAATTAGTCTTTCTGTGTTTCAAAATTATTGAGTTTGAAATGTTTTTCTAAGTATAATTTTATCGATGTCTTTTATGTGAAAATAAATAATTTTCTTATGTGAAGTTAAGGCATATTTTTTAGCGTCGCCCCGGGCCTAAAAAATCTCTAGACCGGCCCTGGTGGTAGGTTTCGGGTTCGAGACTTGGGAGTAGCCTCTCCATAAATGGGGGTAAGACTAGCCGACATTCACCTTTCCTAAACCCTGCGTAAAGTGGGAGCCTTGTACACTGGGTACGACATTTTTTTTTTACTTGCTTTCCATTATAATTTTTAAGAGGTATTCTTAGTATATTCAAGCAAAAGACATTTTCTTTACGGTGATGCTATCTGTCTACCATTTTTACCTTTCGCGCATTTCTTAATTTTTGATTTCAGATCAAATGGCATAAACTAATAAGGAGTGGCACCAACCTTTCTTTATCATGAACGTATTGTCGTATTTTTTGTTTTTACTTTGTGTAGAGTGATAGTTAAAAAAAGAAAAGATAGAGCCTATTAAGGCTGGATGGTGCATGTCTTGTCCAATAATAACAAAGAACGAGAAATTGCTAGATTCTTTGCACGCGCAAAATATTTTTTCTCTTATCACGATGTACATTTTTTAAATGTATTTACAGATATTGATTGTTTGTTTTTTTTTATTTCATTACAGTTTTCCGTTATGAAGCAAAATTATAAACATAAAAAATATGTGATCATCTCGTCACATTAATAAATAAAAATTCAAAGGTTACATTCAGTTCGTCACATTAATTAATAAAAATTCAAAAGTTACATTCAGTTGTATATCGAGTATATAATATTTCTCTAATCAACCGACACAAAACAATCTTTTCCAATAGGTCAGCAGAAATTTCTGGCAGGGATGAAACTAATTTTTTTTTTTTAACAAACAATATTATTTACATAAAAAAATAGAAAAGTGAACTAAGCTTCATAATAGATTAGCAAGAATATTGTTTAAATTCACCTTCGAACTTAATGCTCTCACTTACAAATACAAAAAAAATACTACTAGATCATAGTAGTAAATGATACACGAAACTGAATTTTAACTTCCCGCAAAAACCAAAAAAAGAATTTCAACCTTTTTTCAAAATTCCCCCTTCCTCCCTCCCCTCCCCCTCATTCAGACTTGCGCGTACCGAGGTTTCGCCACTTTCGTTTACAAGAGGTGCTTTCGGCTCCACAGTCCACCATTTCCAATGGTGGTTCGGAGAAATCGACGCGGAGGCGACTCCGAAGAGGGCAGCGGAGCAGCCGTAGAGAATGGAAGTGCGGGGGTTTCAGGGTACGAGCACTTCAGGGACCAAAAGATCAGAGAGAACAAGGAGAGATTGCAGAAGCTGGGAGTTTTGGACCTTGCCAAGAAGCTCAAGACCGAAACTGCCGCCCCAAAACGTCCCTACCGACCCAAAACCCACAACCCACTTCCTAATCCCGGGTCCCCCAGGCGCTCTTCCAGGTAACCCACTTTCTATCTTGTTTGGATTCCGGGAAAATGTGGGAAAGTTTACATCTTTGAAGGGTTTTGATTTTTTTTTTTTTTTTAAACGGAGTTTTTTGTTTTTGGGTTTTTGTTAGGTTGAAGAGTGTGGCTCCAGTAGATTATGTGGAAAAGACAAAAAACGAGAGCTCAAAGAGAAAGAGTGTTGAAATTTTTATAAAGGAAGGTTCAAAGCCTGAGATTTATACAGAGGAACATGAGAAGCTGTTGGGGGATTGTGTCGAAAGCTGGGAGCTAGGCGTTGATGGCTATGGTGAGGATCGGAAGCGCATTTACGATCCGGTTAATGGAGAAACTTGCCATCAATGCAGGTAGGTCATCATGCATTTGATGGGTTTCTAAATTCCATCGAAAAATACTATTTTGGATGTTTATTTTTATTTTTGTAATAGATTTTCAGGTGTTTATTTCGGATGTTTATTTTACTTGAGCAAACTTAATTGAATAGCTGGTAATGATGTTCGTAATTATAAGATCGAATTTTGTATAAGAATCCAATATTTTAGTAACAATTTTATGTGCAAATCTGCGAGCCTAGTTAGTCATGTTAAATAGACTGACAGAGTTCTGTCCATTGGCTTGTTTGTCATTTGAGTCATTTCCGTTAAAGGATTGCCTGAGCGCCTGGCGGATTTCAGGTCTGATTCTTACGAGAATCTCAAACTGATGTTCATCTCGTCTTATTAGCCGTCTTCTTATATTTTTTTGTTTTTTTGTTTTTTTTTTTTTTTTGTGAATGTCTTAAGCTTTACATTTATTTTATGTTTTCCATTTTTCTGTCCTTTTACTCCACGACTACTTTAGAAGTTAGAAACATTACAAGTATGTTGCCTGTTTCGGGTTTAGGCTTTCATTTCAACAGATTGCTTCTATGGATAGATGAAAATGTAGCACTTAAGGAGTCTTGTCATTGCCACACAAATTATGCTTCCAATTGAAATTTTTTAATCAAATGCTCTTTCTGATTATTCATTCATGTACGATTCTTTTATACTTGTAAGTAGTCTCTTCTTTTTCTGATCTAAAATGGAAACAAGAATTTAAGGACCGTTGGTGATCGAGAAAGCTTATACATATGACTAATAACCCAACTGAAGAAGTCATCTTCTCAAGGTATAGCAACAACAACAACAACAACAACAAAGCCTTTTCCCACTAAGTGGGGTCGGCTATATGAATCCTAGAACGCCATTGCGCTCGGTTTTGTGTCATGTCCTCCGTTAGATCCAAGTACTCTAAGTCTTTTCTTAGAGTCTCTTCCAAAGTTGTCCTAGGTCTTCCTCTACCCCTTCGGCCCTGAACCTTTGTCCCGTAGTCACATCTTCGAACCGGAGCGTCAGTCGGCCTTCTTTGCACATGTTCAAAATCACCGGAGCCGATTTTCTCTCATATTTCCTACAATTTCGGCTACTCCTACTTTACCTCGGATATCCTCATTCCCAATCTTATCCTTTCTCGTGTGCCCACACATCCCACGAAGCATCCTCATCTCCGCTACACCCATTTTGTGTACGTGTTGATGCTTCACCACCCAACATTCTGTGCCATACAACATCGCTAGCCTTATTGCCGTCCTATAAAATTTTCCCTTGAGCTTCAGTGGCCTACGACGGTCACACAACACGCCGGATGCACTCTTTCCATCCAGCTCGTATTCTATGGTTGAGATCTCCATCTAATTCTCCGTTCTCTTGCAAGATAGATCCTAGGTAGCGAAAACGATCGCTTTTTGTGATCTTCGCTAGATTGCTCCGGTCATTAGTGTGGATAAGTATATAAATGGATAGAGATAGGAAAGCAAACACAAGATGTACGTGGTTCACCCAGATTGGCTACGTCCACGGAATAGAAGAGTTCTCATTAATTGTGAAGGGTTTACACAAGTACATAGGTTCAAGCTCTCATTTAGTGAGTACAAGTGAATGATTTAGTACAAATGACATTAGGAAATATTGTGGGAGAATGATCTCGTAATCACGAAACTTCTAAGTATCGGAGTGTGGTGTCGTCTTGACTTGCCTTATCTGTCTCATAGGTAGATGTGGCATCTTCTCTGGAAGTACTCTTCCTCCATCCAGGGGTGGTATCTTTAACTGGTGGAGATGCACAAGGTAATGTATCAATTTCACTTGAAGCTTACTTGTAGTTTCAGGCTTGGTCAAGCGCGATACAAACCATGTAGTAGGAGTCCCCCAAGTCGCCGAGCTAGAGGGTCTGCTGAAAGAGGTGACAGACAAGGTAAGCAATCAGAGCTCCGACTGATTGTTCACCTTCTCCCCATCTTGCAGCAGCATGAAGGATAAAGAGAAGAAAAATGAGAAGAGAGATGATATGAGATACTTTTGCTTTTTGAAGAAGTAACTTTCCACAGGCTTATTCTTGAACTGAGCTGGAGGGTTTTCTGGTTTCCTCCAGAGTATAAGGCCGACTGAAGAATTTGAGGGTCAAAACAAGTCCATCAAATCTAGAGTACGTTCCACCCTGCTGCTGATATGGGATACTTTTGCTTTTGACAGAGTAATGAATGTATCGGCACGTGTGCTGTTACGCTTGTCTCCACATGCTTCCTTGTATCCTTCGCACTTGCCCTATCTGTTCCTCAAGCAGATGCGGAATCTTCCCTGGAAACATAAGATGTTGAAGATGAGTACTCGAGAGCAATGCCAGGTAAGTAATCAGGTAAGGGGTTCCAGGCAGTCAGTTCCTGGCTGGAAGCTTGATTCCAAGTGCTGACTGATTGCTCTCTTTCTCCTTGTCTTGCAGGTAAAAACAAGGCCAAAAGAAAAGACAGGGAAAAAGCATGATATGGGATACTCTTGCTTTTAACCCTGATGATATGAGATATTCTTGCTCTAGTATAGCTTGTTTGCAGAGGTATTATCGGGGGAAAAGAAAGCTGAATATTTCGAAAGGCTTCGTTGGGAGTGCCCTCTCAGATATGATGAAGGGTTGAGCATTTTTGCAGGTCTGCCTGTCCGTTGGGGATGGAGGTCGACATATATAGGAGTCTCCCTAACAACAAGTAGTAATGCTATTCCTTTACCCTGCTTGGTCATAGCACGGTAGTGGGAGCTGCCTGTTTCACATGTTTTAACTCTGTCAGAGCACTTTGAAAAAGTGGTCTGTAGTATCTGCCTCTCGAGATTCGGAGAACGATGCCTCTTCGATTTTTGAGAAAGCAATCATGATGGGGGTATGACTCTCGAGATTCGGAGAGCAGTGTCTCTTCGATTTTTGAGGAAGTAATCATGTTGGGAGTCTGGCTCTCGAGATTCGGAGGACGGTGCCTCTTCGATTTTGGAGCAAGCAATCTTGTTGGGAGTGTTGTCTCGAATGTGAGTAAAGGTTGGGCATGTTTGCTAGTCTATCTTGCCACGAAGCACAAAGGTTGACACACAGGGACTTTCCAATTATCCAGCAATGGTACTGTTCCTTTACCCTCTCTTCGATTTTGAGAAAGTAGTCATGTTGGGAGTCTGGCTCTCGAGATTCGGAGGACGGTGCCTCTTCGATTTTGGAGCAAGCAATCTTATTGGGAGTGTTTTCTCGAATGTGAGTAAAGGTTGGGCATGTTTGCTAGTCTACCTTGCCACGAAGCACAGAGGTTGACACACAGGGACTTTCCAATTATCCATCAGTGGTACTGTTCCTTTACAGTTGTGGGTAATAATATGGTAGCTAGACCTTCAAAATTTATGTGTCTAAACTTTTGTTAGTGCTGTTTCTTTGCTATTCTTTTACCTTTCTTGGTCAGAGCGATGTAGTGGGAGCTGCAAGCTTCACGTGCTCAACTTTGGCAGAGAACTTTGGCAAAGTTATTTGTGGTACCCATGAGCTATTGTTGCGTGTGGGAAGTGGGTGATTGAACAGTAAGATTCATGTGCTTTCTACTTCACCAGAAGTCTTCGACAGAATGCCCATAATTTCTGCAAAGCTGAGTGTGCGTGTGACAGGTGCTGACAAGGCTAGAAAAGTAGGTGCCTCTTCGATTTCTGAGATCGGCCCTCGTGGTCTCTGAGCAGCCCAGCTTTTGAGAAAGCGAGCGCCTCTTCGATTGATTCGGAGAACGATGCCTCATCGATTTTTGAGAAAGCAATCATGCTGGGGGTCTGGCTCTCGAGATTCGGGGAGCAGTGTCTCTTCGATTTTTGAGAAAGTAATCATGTTGGGAGTCTGGCTCTCGAGATTCGGAAGGCGGTGCCTCTTCGATTTTGGAGCAAGCAATCTTGTTGGGAGTGTTTTCTCGAATGTGAGTAAAGGTTGGGCATGTTTGCTAGTCTACCTTGCCACGAAGCACAGAGGTTGACACACAGGGACTTTCCAATTATCCAGCAATGGTACTGTTCCTTTACCCTCTCTTCGATTTTTAAGAAAGTAGTCATGTTGGGAGTCTGGCTCTCGAGATTCGGAGGACGGTGCCTCTTCGATTTTGGAGCAAGCAATCTTATTGGGAGTGTTTTCTCGAATGTGAGTAAAGGTTGGGCATGTTTGCTAGTCTACCTTGCCACGAAGCACAGAGGTTGACACACAGGGACTTTCCAATTATCCAGCAGTGGTACTGTTCCTTTACCCTTGTGGGTAATAATATGGTAGCTAGACCGTCAAAATTTATGGGTCTAAACTTTGTTAGTGCTGTTTCTTTGCTATTCTTTTACCCTTCTTGGTCAGAGCGATGTAGTGGGAGCTGCAAGCTTCACGTGCTCAACTTTGGCAGAGAACTTTGGCAAAGTTATTTGTGGTACCCATGAGCTATTGTTGCGTATGGGAAGTGGGTGATTGAACAGTAAGATTCATGTGTTTTCTACTTCCCCAGAAGTCTTTGACAGAATGCCCATAATTTCCGCAAAACTGAGTGTGCGTGTGACAGGTGCTGACAAGGCTGGAAAAGGCTGGAAAAGTAGGTGCCTCTTCGATTTCTAAGATCGGCCCTCGTGGTCTCTGGGGAGCCCAGCTTTTGAGAAAGCGAGCGCCTCTTCGATTTTTGAGATCGGCCTTCGTGGTATTTGAGCAGCCCAACTTTTGAGAAAGCAAACGCCTCTTCGATTTCTGAGATCAACCCTCGTGATCTCTAAGCAGCCCAGCTTTTGAGAAAGCAAACGCCTCTTCGATTTCTGAGCAGGCGCCTCTTCGATTTCTGATTTCTGAAGCTTCGTCGAGTGCAGATTTTTATAGGGGCTGGCATTAAGTAAGTTAAGTTCCAAAGCACACTTGAATCTCCACCAGTAGAAGCTTCATTCTTGCACTTCTAAGATCTTGATTTGTCCGACCTCTTCTCTCTCTTCAACACCTTTGAAAATGTCTGGCCCCTCCGACCGTCGTTTTGACTTGAACCTTGTTGAAGAGGCAGCCCCGCCTTCTCCAGACAACATATGGCGCCCATCCTTCGTCTCCCCTACTGGTCCTCTTACCGTTGGGGATTCCGTGATGAAGAATGATATGACCGCTGCGGTGGTGGCCAGGAACCTTCTCACTCCCAAAGATAACAGACTACTTTCCAAACGGTCTGATGAGTTAGCTGTTAAGGATTCGCTGGCTCTCAGTGTTCAGTGTGCAGGTTCTGTGTCTAATATGGCCCAACGCCTATTTGCTCGAACCCGCCAAGTTGAATCATTGGCGGCTGAAGTGATGAGTCTCAAACAGGAGATTAGAGGGCTCAAGCATGAGAATAAACAGTTGCACCGGCTCGCACATGACTATGCTACAAACATGAAGAGGAAGCTTGACCAGATGAAGGAAACTGATGGTCAGGTTTTACTTGATCATCAGAGATTTGTGGGTTTGTTCCAAAAGGCATTTATTGCCTTCGTCTTCTGGGGCTGTACCGCGTAATGAAGCTCCAAATGATCAACCTCTGATGCCTCCTCCTTCTAGGGTTCTGTCCAGTACTGAGGCTCCAAATGATCCCCCTCCGGTGCCTTCTCTTTCTAGGGCTCTACCGACTGCTGAGACTTCTCCTAAGCAACCTTTGTGAAGGCTCCCTCTTGTGTGCTTATTTTGACTCATGTATATGTACATATTTGTAGCTTATCGGGGATATCAATAAATAAGCTTTCCTTCATTTCAACGTATTGTGTTAAATACACCAAAGCCTTCTTCGCTAAGTTCTTTGAATTTTCTTTTGTTAAAGCTTGTATGTTGAAGCTTTCTGAGTGGAGCATGTAGGATGGGGTAGTGTTCCCTTAATTTCCCGAGTGAGGAAAACTTCTCGGTTGGAGACTTGGAAAATCCAAGTCACTGAGTGGGATCGGCTATATGAATCTTAGAACGCCATTGTGCTCGATCCTGTGTCATGTCCTTCGTTAGATCCAGGTACTCTAAGTCTTTTCTTAGAGTCTCTTCCAAAGTTTTCCTAGGTCTTCCTCTACCCCTTCGGCCTGACTGAACCTCTGTGTCCCATAGTCGCATCTTCTAATCGGAACGTCAGTAGGCCTTCTTTGCACATGTCCAAACCACCGTAACCGATTTTCTCTCATCTTTCCTTCAATTTCGGCTACTCCTACTTTACCCCGGATATCCTCATTCCTAATCTTATCCTTTCTCGTGTGCCCACACATCCAACGAAGCATCCTCATCTCCGCTACACCCATTTTTGTGTACGTGTTGATGTTTCACCGCCCAACATTCTGTGCCATACAGCATCGCCGGCCTTATTGCCGTCCTATAAAATTTTCCCTTGAGCTTCAGTGGCATACGGCGGTCACACAACACGCCGGATGCACTCTTCCACTTCATCCATCCAGCTTGTATTCTATGGTTGAGATCTCCATCTAATTCTCCGTTCTTTTGCAAGATAGATCCTAGGTAACGAAAACGGTCGCTCTTTGGTATTTCTTGATCTCCGATCCTCACCCCTAACTCGTTTTGGCCTCCATTTGCACTGAACTTGCACTCCATATATTCTGTCTTTGATCGGCTTAGGCGAAGACCTTTAGATTCCAACACTTCTCTCCAAAGGTTAAGCTTTGCATTTACCCCTTCCTGAGTTTCATCTATCAACACTATATCGTCTGCGAAAAGCATACACCAAGGAATATCATCTTGAATATGTCCTGTTAACTCATCCATTACCAACGCAAAAAGGTAAGGACTTAAGGATGAGCCTTGATGTAATCCTACAGTTATGGGAAAGCTTTCGGTTTGTCCTTCATGAGTTCTTACGGCAGTCTTTGCTCCTTCATACATATCCTTTATAGCTTGGATATATGCTACTCGTACTCCTTTCTTCTCTAAAATCCTCCAAAGAATGTCTCTTGGGACCCTATCATACGCTTTTTCCAAATCTATAAAGACCATGTGTAAATCCTTTTTCCCATCTCTATATCTTTCCATCAATCTTCGTAAGAGATAGATTGCCTCCATGGTTGAGCGCCCTGGCATGAACCCGAATTGGTTGTCCGAAACCCGTGTCTCTTGCCTCAATCTATGCTCAATGACTCTCTCCCAGAGCTTCATTGTATGACTCATTAGCTTAATACCCCTATAGTTCATGCAATTTTGTACGTCGCCCTTATTCTTGTAGATAGGCACCAAAGTGCTCGTTCGCCACTCATTTGGCATCTTCTTCGTTTTCAAAATCCTATTGAAAAGGTCAGTGAGCCATGTTATACCTGTCTCTCCTAAAAGTTTCCACACTTCGATTGGTATATCGTCTGGGCCTATTGCTTTTTTATGCTTCATCTTCTTCAAAGCTACAACCACTTCTTCCTTCTGGGGCATCTGCAACTGGGGTGGGAACCCACCGGTAATCTGTATAGAAAGGTGAACCTTACCAACCTTATGCATACATTCATGTATGGTTTATGCATAATTTCGTGTTATATTCTTCTCCAAGCATGTTTCCTGCAGTTTCCCAGTTGATACTCTTTGGTCCCTGCATGCCGGACTTAATAGGCTACTCCCATCAAGAGAAAAGCGTGCAATAGAATAGAACACAGGCACAAACACACAAACTCACACACCCACATACACTTAAATGCATATACATCTACATACAATTGTTCAATACATGTCTGGGCACTGTGATTTTCGTACATAATGGAAAAGAAAGACCAAGGCAACAAATTAACATGAGGAACCAATGGCTAAGTTTTGTACATGTATCAGGTCATAAAACTGGGTTACAAATCTGTGGCACACTATCTTATCCAAACCCACCGTTCCCCAACAAACTCAGAGACCGCAGGTGAAGAAGTTGTAGCAGAGGGATCAACTCCTTCAGTGGAACCCTCTTCACATGATGAATCTTCAGGATCAGGCAATGGCCTTGATACTAGTGAGCATGTTGATGACAATGATGTGGGCAACGTAGATGCTGTTGCTGCTGGTGATGCTGTTGACGGCAAGGCAAAGAAAAAGCTGAGAAGGAATACAAGGCTGAGCAAGGATTAAACTTTTGCAGATTATAGCCTGCTCTTAATACAATCTAGTCCCGCATCAACTCGTGTAAGGTTGGGACACACCAAATGCTTTTCAAGCACATATATTTCTCTTTTGTTAGCAGGAAGACTAATCTAGTGCAGCTATAGGTTTTTTGTGGAGTTATGATTTTGCCGGGGAATAGTTTCCTTGAACTTCTTTTGCTTTATATGTGGTAGGATGAGAATTGTGGTGTTTAGAAACATGAATCAGCCAGACTACTACTGGTATTGCAAATGAAATATGTAGTCGTATGTAGTCTTCTACTTGCCTGCTTTTGTAGTCAATGCGGTGGATTCGTATGCAGATGAAGGATTCTTAACAAAATTAACAAGGCATGGAGAAAATATTGACATTTTCATTATGTCCATTGTTGCTTAGTAGTAACAAATAAAAAGTGTTGCATCCCGGTTACAAGACCCTTGCATTTTTTGCATTTTTCGCTACCATGTACCCACCAGCCTTAAGATTTATACAGCTGAGTGCAGTGGTGTTTTACGATTTCTATAGGTGAGACACCACTTAGTGGCATAATTGTTTTTTTGTTATTGTTGTATTAGGACTATTGCTAAGGTTTTTGGAGGAATTGGGAAGTGAGATTAAGGAGGAACTATGGGTGGGTGTGGGAGTTGGGTTCAGTAACAAAATCAAATGTGAGTTTTCTTTAGCTTTAATTAATGTCTGTCCTTTTTGGTCATTTTGTTCAAAGTTATAACAAAAAATGCAAGCTTTATTAAAAATTAGGTGAGCTTACTAAAAATTGGGTGCCGATATAGGTACCCTTTATTTTTTGTTTATTTTTTGTTTTTATTAAGTTTGAATTCGAAATTGTTTTTTTTTTTTTTTTTTTTTTTTGTGGTTTTAAATGAAGTGTATGAAGGACTCAAATATGAAAACACTATAAAATTTTCAAGTTTTAAGAGTTTTTTACAAACATGGTTCTTAAATTTTAGTGGTTGTTTAACCTTGGTCCTCAAACTCTTTTTTTTGTTCTAAGTTGGTCCCTAAACTTTTTAAAATGTGTCAAATAAGGACAACAATGACAACGTTAGTTATAAAATTTGACAAGATATTAATAGTGGACATAATGAAATTAAACTAGCCTTCATGCATGCACTCACGAGAGTGTAGAAGGTATTTTTTGAATTACTGCATGCTACGTGCGACTTACACGTTTTAATGTATGTATATGCGTAAATTGACAAAAAGAAAGTCAAATATTTAAAGTAAATGAATCATTTCAGATTATGCTAGAAAAAACTCCTCATAAACCAATTAAAGTAGCTGAATTCATATAATAAAATCGGTTTTTATAGAATTTACATTAAGAATAGAGAAAATAATATTTGATAAACAATTGATTGAATCACATTATTGCTAACTCATTGTGAGGTTGAGTCCAGCCCCTCCTCCTTAGTGTAGATAATATCGTTTGTTAAAAAAAAAAAAAACAATCATTTGACAATTAATTTAATCACATTATTATCCGCGTGCGAAAGACTTTTTTTATAATCCGCATTACATGCCTCTTAAGAAGTTTTGAACGTATTTAAAAACAGAGAAATAATATTTAATAAACAACTGATTGAATCACATTATTGCTAGCCCATTGTGAGGCTAAGTCCACCCATTCCCCCTTAATGTAGATAATATCGTTTGTTAAAAAAAAATTATTTGACAACTTATTTAATCACATTATTATCCTCGTGCGAAAGACCTTTTTTATAGCTTGCATTACACACCTCTTAAGATGTTTTGAACGTGTTTCAAAATAGAGAAATTGAATCACATTATTACTAGTCTATTGTGAGGCACTAATTAAAAATAAAAAAAACTGTACCAAAAAAGTAATTATTAAAAAAACACTATTAAAATGACGAAAATGCCCATGCCTTATTGGATACATTATTTTGTGATGCTGTTGACCCTAGAAATTACAAAGCCTACGTGGCGCGCAGGCCGAATATATTCTAAGCTAACTACGTCCTTCGGTGATTGCGGGGCGTGCCAACTCGTCAGCCGAGGCTCGGCCGAGGAGTAAATTTGATGATGCTGCGTTGGGTCGCGCTACTGACTTCTGCGTCTTGCGATTGCGGCCGAGAAAGGAACGCGTCTCGGCCTCTTGGGTTCTCGAGCCTGAAGACAAGGCTGCTATTTCTTACAAAGTTCACGAACCGAATTCGGCTTACAATGTGCCGAATGTAATAACTGTAACACCTTACCTCACCGAGAAGGCTAATGAGATGACCTCGACCAACAAGGATTCGAAAACCCTTCTCGACCGAGACTTGGATAGGCAATCGACCGTTCTCGCCGCAGTGCTGTTGATGCCAACGGAAGATACTGCGAGACCGACCGACTCTACGGTGACAGAGCTATCTATGCCGACTTAAGATATCACCGGTTGCTTCCACAGTGCTGTTGATGCCAACGGAAGATGTGTCAGCGAAAAAGGAAAAGAAAAAGATCTCAAGTTGTGAGAGTTTGCGCAGGGCAATTTTGTATTGATTTTTGTCCCCCTGAATGTTGCTTGCGACTCTGTATTTATAGCATCCATATTTCCCTGGCACGGCCTGATAACTTGTAGAGTCCCACTGCAATTCATACTTTGCGGAACCCAAATTAATCCTCAGAGACCAAAGGATATCTTTCAGATACTTTCGTGATTTTCTAAACCTCATAAAAACATATTCAAATAAGTCTTCTTATCATCATTGCCTAGTCCACCTAGGCTTGTCATCATTATCCAAGACCATCATTTCCCAAAAATGTTGCATGCATCCTGACCACATGAGTATTAAATTAATTTTTAATTGTGTTTTACTCAAACCCACCTGGATTCATTCCGTGTCTTGGTATCCCATCCATGCACCTTGAATCTGATAGAAGGAAACCCAAGTTCACTCGAACTGTCCATGTTTGAAGATATACTGATCGGATAATTAAAGGATAAATAATATGGCAAAACCATAATATTATCCTTTAACAATAACAAAAAATATTTTCACTTTTCCATCCGACGGTTGAGAACTATGTTTACCTAACGGCCTTGATTACACGGGCCGATAGTGTAAATTTGGGTCCAAACAGATGCCTTTGAAGTTTTTTGTCTTGGAGGCATTTTTGTTGAAGCTTGGTGACACCAAAATCACTATTCACCTTTTGTGTTGGCTTTATATATAGACTAGCCTTTCTACACACGCTTATGTGCGTGCGAAAGGTCTTTTTTACATAACGGGCGCTATGTGCCTTTAAAGATTTAATTTTTTAGATATGTTTGATTAATGAGTAAACGAAAATGACGTTAGAGCACTTCTAGTGTGTAAAGGCTCCCTTGGCAATAGGCAATTCGATCCCCTCAAGTGAATAGTAACTGCCTTTAACGAACAATAATTGCCTTTTACATCTCTACCCCTAATAGTAAACTGAATAGTCATGGCAATAGGCAATAAATATTAGTATTTTTTATTTTCTAAAATAATAAAAAAATAATTTTATTTTTGAATTTTGGATAGGATTTTTAAACAATCTCGTCACATCAAGTGTCATGATCTGAAAGTACAATTTTTGTGGATAGATTTCGATAAAAATTTTAACCAATTCCGTCGCGTGACGTGTCCTTCCATGTTTAGAATCGTTGATAATATTGAAATGTGGTGTAAGGCGGGAGAAAATGGTAAGGTATTTATAGAAAAAAAAAATTTTAATTTTGAATTTTTTTTTGATTTTGAATTTTTTTATTAACTTAATTAATTTGAACCATTGGATTACAAAAAAAATTTGAAATCCAACAGTCCAGATTGTGACATGTGGCCCACCTTAACATTTATGTTTTTTTTTCCTCATTTTTCTTATTTTTTTAATTTTTAAAGCAAAAAACCGGGACCATTGATCTGAAAATCAAACGGTATAGATTCAACGGCTACTAAGTGGGCTGCCATGCGAGTTCCACTGCGTGAAATCTTGTCGGTAAAGCGCTCCCCACGCAGGGGTGTTATGCATGCGCCTGACGCAAAAAAATTTATAACGTGGTTGAGTTCTCCCACGGGTTCCCCCTCAGCCCAATTGCTCGAATGGACTGGCGCCACTTTGGCAGGGGGTTGGATTGGAAATGGAGTTGGTCCACATGGCAAAGGAGGACGCTGGAAGTGCTCTTAATGTTACATTGAAGAACATGGGATAAAGTTTTTGAAGGTGCCAAAACTAAATAATGTTAAGTTTTGACGCATTGACCCAAAATAGGAAAAAAATGACATTCATAAGACAAATCACAAATTTAGAAGGGTGGAGATCTTTATGTGACATTAAGTACTAAATTTTTTAAAAATTACATCATAACTTAGATGGAAACAAAATATTTGTATGTACAACATTTCTTGCAATCCCATGTTGTGTTTGCGATCCTTATATAATGAAGCATGTAGTGTAAATAGGTAAACGCATTGCTCCTACGATGCTTTTGGTTTGACTTTTAAAAAAGCAAAACATTTGTATGTGTCAATCGGACTTCGTCATGCGGACCTATACGATTAATTAATCTGCAACAAAGATACAAAATGTACATAAACTTTGTTAATATAGAGTACATTGTATGAACTTAAAACATCAATACATCAACTAATTGATAAGGCAAACCAAAAGGTGACATAAGACAAAAGAATAAAAATAAAAAAGAAGAAAAATGTAGTTTACATCCATTATATATAGTTGAACCATAAATCATAAGGCAAAAGGAAAATACCTTTTTTTTTTTTTCTCTCTTTCTCTTAGTTTTTAAAAGGCCAACGGTTGCATTGCCTTCCAGAGGGCCTAATGGATGACCACCATTCTTGTCATCCCTTTCTATTTCATCTCTGGCAGGGAAAGTAGCCTTTTCTGTTTTTGACGCAGTAGCAGCAGTGCCTCACATCGACTCTCTCCAAAAGCCATTCCATCCTATTTGTTTGAAACTCAAAGCTACAAATATTTAGGACATAGTAAATTTAGTTATAAAAAGCATATAAATTCAACAACAAAAGTGAAATCTAATCAAATGAATGAAGGCATGCATATCTGAACTGTAATTACAAACTGTTACGGATTACACAACAACAACAACAAAAACTTCAAAGGAAATCCAAGTTGATAACTGAACAGTTTGGGAAAGGAGAGGCTAATATAACATGTATAGAAAATGTTCATATTAAAATTGACGATATATGGAGAAAACCCTAATATAAAATCAAAGTTTGCAAATTCGTTATCCTGCCATGAGAAGATCAATTTAAGTA